AATCTGGTTCTACAGGGATTTAAAAATAGTTACGCAAAACAGAGCGTGCCGCTCTGACCGGCTTTAAAGGGTTAATGCCTCAGTCTCGTGCACACACAGCCATGCAAATTAGCAGTAGTAGTGAAGTGAACTTTGAGAGGCTTCCAAAATAACCTACAATCCAATTTTCCCCATTGGAAGTGTTCAGCTTGACAGTGTTTAGCAACATCTTTAGGCCCGCCCATGGTGCCGATTGGCTAATCATTAATTTACACCACAGCTCTCATTGGACTTTTTAAACTGAAAACCTACCATCACATGTCACCATGCCAGATTAATCAGTAAGAGCATGCAAGATTGAAATTTTCACAGCCCCAGGTGAGTGTGTGTTTATCTTTCATTTCAATCTGTGAGTCTGGGTTTTGATAAGTGACTCAGAGCCAAAGTTTGATCTTTTGTCCGAAAACTCCACACCTAAGGCTGTGGTGAGTGATTCTGGTGAACAGAGGCTGCGTGAGTCACGCTGAGTCAAAGAAAATGCTCCTTATCCCATGTGATTCCCCAAACACACACCATTTCCTGGAAATAGGTAAACAAATGTACACACACACACACACACACACAGATGAGCAAGCGGACACTTGCACCTTTGGCCAGAAACACATCTGTCTATGAATGCAATAATATATTTGATTGATTTTGCAAACTCATAAGGAAGCACAATGGATTTATTTTACACTGGATTCCCCAAACACACTTTCCACTTTTGCTAAAAAACGAACCAAATCACCCACACACATTTCTTACCTTGCTCACAGTTCTTGCCACCGTAACCAGTAGGGCAGTCGCAGATGTAAGTGTTCCACTTGCTGACGCACGTGCCTCCGTTTTGACACACACCATTTGTGCAAAAGTCTTTCTTTGCTGGACACCCTGAGCATATAAAAGTAAATAAAATTTAAGCTTCGTTTTTGATGACAGCTTTAAAAGTCCAGAAATGAGCGAGGATAGAAACGCTGCAGAGGGAACATCTTAACCTTCTGTGGTGCCGTTGTTAGCAATGAAGCTGCCCATGTCGATGGGTTTGCTGTCGATGCGCAAGTTTCTCATGCAGCCTACAAAGTTCCTGTTCCTGACTGGGAAATCCTCTGGCAGGTTGGGAACCCCACCCAGTAACAGCGGCCCTGTCAAGTCCAGTGATCTGCAAGAAGATGCAGACAGACCATGAATGAGACAGATCATAACTGCAAAATCTTCAAAGTGGGTCTTTTGTGATCTTTTTCACTTACTTTTAATAAATGGAGTTAAAGAGTGTCGTTTTGGCTTTGGTGTTTTAGCTGCTGCCTCATTCACCTTCACTATGATCGGGATTTCTGGTTAAAGGTTATTGTTTTCAAAAGCCGTCACAAAGCAGCTAAAAGGCAACAAGATTTAGCTTACTTGGTCATATATGAAGCCGCTTACACCCAGAGCTTCTGAAACCATCAAAATCAAAGGCCTAAAGACATTTACGTGGGACATTAAATGTGTATTTTGTTCTTACGGTCTAAATCAGCGGATCCCAACTGGACTGGTACCGGCCCGTGAGTCGTTTGGTACCGGGCCGCGAGAGTTGAGGCTCGGGTGTGAAATCTATGGTTTTCAGGGTTTTTATCGTTAACTCTGTTTACCCTGGGTCTTTTCCCGCGTTGTAGTTGTGTGGCTTATTTTGAATGAAATATTTACGCGTTACCATAGCGACCAGAGAGCATTAAGGGGCAGAGAGGAGGATGTTACTCTCATTTCAGGAGGACGCTGCTAATAAAGTTACACAATTACACAGCGAATTCTCGTTTATTATTATATTTACAAAATACCACTGTTTTTGTCTTGGTCGTATCATTTTATTTTGTTGTATTTATCCGCGACACCTTAAAGCCCGTTCTGTGCAAATACTGCCTGACATTAAACCGGTCTGTGGTGCAAAAAGGTTTGGGGACCGCTGGTCTAAATAACATCGCCTGGCCGGGAACATGAAGGGCTCAAACCATGAATCTTCTAGACCAGCGGTCCCCAACCTTATTTGCGCCACGGACCGGTTTATGCCCGACAATATTTTCATGGACCGGCCTTTAAGGTGTCGCGGATAAATACAACAAAATAAAACTAGTACCGGTACCAAAAAAAAGAAAATTTATTCATAACACACGTGAAAAGACCCAGGAAAACCGAGTTAACGATAAAAACGATAAAAACCCTGAAAACTATACATTTCACACCTGAGCCTCAACTCTTGTGGCCCAGTACCAAACGACTCCGAGGCCCGGGGGTTCGGGACCGCTGTTCTAGACGTTCAGCAAATCAGCAGAAATCTGCAGGCTTCTTTGAACCAACGTTCAGCCATAAACTTCAGCGCTCTTGGGAGATGTCTTAACAGTTATCTAGAAAGTTCAGATTTCGTTTTGTTCTTTTATTTAAATACACAAGAATGCAAAAACCATAGTGTCAGACACTCAAAAGCCCGAAGTTCAACTTACAGCTATGATCCAGAATTTATTTGTATAAATATTAATATAAATATGTAGCAGTAGAGTTAATGGGTTTTGATTTTTTTTTTCTGAAGTATTGAAGGAATCCGTGTTATGGATATTTGTGAAAAGAGACTCCAGTGTCAATACAGACTTGTAGGATGTATTAAACTAGTCTTTAAATCCCAAAGGTTTCTTTTTCATAAATTTGTTGGGGTTTTTTCCCAGAAATTTACAGCAAGAAATATTATTGGGAAATCCCACCCAGCACTCTACAGTTGTGTCAGTGAAGTCATGTTTTTCTGCCTCAACAGGACTCACTGTGCAGCTTAAGCCACACTCTGGATTCTGTCAAGACAGCTTCGAAAGCGAAACCTCTCAAGCTCTCGCCACTTTCCACCACATAAGACGCAGCGGTCTAATTATTCCAGCGTGATCAAATTAAAGCATCCTCAAAACGCCTCTCAGCGTCTGTGACCGGTGCAACAAGTTCCTGAAAGTATGTAAGCTCATTAGCTCCCCTTTGAAGCTTTCTCTCTCGCTCCCTTTCAGTCCCCACCCTCTACAAAGTAAATGGGCCTCAGCATGCAAGCTTTCCAAAAGAAAAGGCACACTGTAAAAATATAAATTGATGAGTGTGTAATAAACACACAGTTAATCCTGTAAAGCCTGCGCTGAGATGAGCTTTTGGTTGTCTGACAGCAGAGAGACCACACGGATGAGCGCGGAGATTAGGAGATAAAAGCGGGAGAAGATGGCAGAATGTGAGTTGTGTAATGAAGGCGATTTGGCGTAGCCCCCGAGGCGCAACACATTCCCTCATTAGTCTGACTAGTTTGAGTGAATGTGTGTGGGAAGAGGTCCAGAGAGAAAAGAAAGAAAAGAAAGTTGGTGAAAGAGGTTCCCTCTTACTTCTTCTGTCCAATCTGGGTACCCTGCGCGGCGCAGGAGTAGTTCCCGATCTGCTTTCCGAAGCGGATCGCCATGGATATGTCACAATCGTCAATGGCGACCATAGCCACTTTTTCTCCGGACGGTCCGAAAGGGTTCCCCACGCTCACCATTTTAGGCTGAAACACAGAATGAAACACAGATCACGATCATTCATCGGCATTTAAGAATGATAGTGGGGATTTGAGAGATCCCACTAACTGTATCTTATTCCCTGCGTGAGGGTGCTTTGTTACAGTAAATTGCCTCAGCTGACTGAATTTGGTTAAAACGTTTAATGCTCGATTTCTTTCTTTGTTTCTTTTCACACAATGTTAGAAATCTGGCAGGATCGGCGCGGGTCAGCGCTACACAAACAACGTCTAGCTGACTTTAGCGGCGGCGCTCAGGCCTCTCTGGGCTTAAGGTGACAAAAAAGCCCATTGTGCATTAGCTCGCACCTAATGATTACAAAGTAGCCTAATTCTTCCATCAAGGCCCGTGGCCGATGAGCGCTGATCTTAGAAAATGTGGCTCGGCTTAGAAAATCAGGCCACAAAATCGCTTTCGAGTTTCTAATATCGAACCTGAGAGCAAAGTTCAATGGAGCATTTCCCTAACAATAGCAGCTTTGGAACAGGAGCAGAGTTAAAACCCAAAAGAGGAAGAAAAAGGAAGTGCATTCATGGTTAAAGCTGAGATTCATTTCAAATTCTTTACAAATGAAGCACTCGTATTTTCTTGTCTTGCGTTGAGTGCCTTACAGCAGATGGAGTCATAAGTTATGTCACTCTGCTATCTCTACTAGCGTTATGGTATATTTCTGCAGTGCATAAAGACGGCGGCACTGAAGCTCTGAGATCTGATCGTGGCGCTGTGTTTATACAAAGTTTACATAAGGCTGACAGGCTGAACAATAGCAAGAGAGGCTTTCTAACCACTTAGCAATAGGGGCGGGAATCAGAGAAACTACACCGAAGTGCCTGAAACATCCGGGGAACTGAAGGAGAGCAAAACTCAAAACTCTGAGAGCAGGGATCAAGTATTTATTCTCAACACTGTGGTATCAGGGTTTACGTGTCTAGTTCAGTATATTTAATGAACCTGAGTGAAGGCTTTATGGTTACGTATGACTCTGCATTAGTTTAAGATGAAAAATTAATGCAATAGAAGAGATGAGGAGACACAGATAGAAAGAAAGTGTGTGTGTGTGTGTTCTCTGCTACATTAATCGGTGTAGAGTAATGAGATACTGGTGGGGCTGATACAGGAAACATAAGAACAGAGAGGGGGGAAAATGGCAAAGGACAAAAAAAAGGAAGTCCAGAGAAAAGAGACAAAAGAGAAAATGGCAGACGGGCAAAAACTGAGCTGCACTGTCTTCTATTTTGGCTCAGGTGGGCTCCGGTCCAGGCATAACTCAAACCCACAGGGAGGGTTTTTTGATCAGGGCCACTCCCTTCAAAATGCCCCATTTCCACAGATTCTACAAAACACACTTTCACACTTTCAATAAGAAAAACAGGAAGCATGGCACGTCTGACACCGCTGCTGTTTTCTTTCTCTTTCACGTGTAATCTCATTTGTACAGGCTTTAGGTGGAAACGTCGTGCGCACATACACATAGAGACACAGACAGATAAACAGCTGAGTGCAGACAGAAAGCACGAGGCCTTATCGGGCGTATCGGGCACGGTTGAGCAAGGCATCATGGATGAATTCTCTCATTTTTGCCCGTCTAGGATTCATAGAGTGAATCGATATGAACGAACAGTGAAAACGACATCAAAATTCTCCAGAGTCCAAGGACGTGTCTTAACAGGTTTTACTTTCCTTTTCTCCACACAACAAGCAGCAACTTTAACGTCTGAAAAATGAACATGAAAAACGAGCACATGTGCCAAAAAATGGAGACAGCAGTTCCTTGATTGGCCGCTTGGATCTGGCCAATTTAACAGCAAAATAAACACGTTCACAGCCTGCTGCAACAAACTCTTGTTTGTGGCTACTTTTCCCATGAAAACCAGTGAAATAATCTTGTCAAATCTGACCGTCGCTTCAGTTCGTTGACTTTAAAACAAGGCTATTGCCTTCAGGTTTCTAAATTTGAGCCTCTGGGTGACAACAGACCGGGTGGATGCTACCACATGATTAAATTCTCCCCTCCCAAATAATTAGGTGGTTTGGCTCAAACAGCTTGAGCCGAGTCTGAAACCCGAATCACAAAAATGTAAGACCAAGAGGAAAATATGTGATTGAAATCGTGGGTCCTGCTTTTGTTCCTCACCGTCTGAACAAAACCCAGGCTCACTAAGCTCACTGTAGGCAGGTGACACCCCACAAACTCCAAATATGAACCTCTTGCCGGCTGAGCGCGATGCTTTATCGCTGAAAATCTTCAAATGTCAACGTCATTAGTAAGTTACGTAAGTCGGACTGTTCCTCCTGAGCGGACATGTCGGCAGCCTGTGATGAGACGCTGCACTGCTTCATAGCACCACTCAGATGAAGGAGTTAAGACACAAAGTATGTGCTTGACAGGCTCGTGGCAGATTTGACCCTGATAATAACGAGGACCTTTACTGCTTAACCCCGCTGTGAAATATGCACAAAAATGTCCCCTGTGGGCCATTTGTGATTAGGGGCACCACTGGACTCCAGAGGAAAATAAGAGCAACATGTGGCTTTCTAAGCTGTAGAACAGGGTTGTCAAACATAAGGCATGAGGGCCAGAATTAGCCAGGTGAAAACTCCAATCCGGCCCACTGGACAAATTTGGAAAATATGAAGGAAGAGATAAATTTGGGGCTTTTAACTATATTTTACAACTTTTCTTACTCCACCATGGCCATTCATTTCACACCAAGGAATAGAGAAACAATTAAATAGCAGGGTTTTTTTTCAGTGATGATACTGCACTTCCTTTTCTTATACTGAGATATTTCAGGGATCAAATGTGTCATTAAAAATCTTTACATTGACACGAGGAGAAGTTTCAGTGGTCCGGCCCACTTAAGATCAAAGTAGGCTCTATGTGGCTCTATGATGAGAAATGAGTTTGACACAGAAAGTGTTAGCACAGTGTTAGAGGAAACTAAACAGACCTAGGTTTAAATGATCCACATACACACAGATTTTTAGACCTGGACCTTTATAAAATCTAGAGTTGATCGCATCGAGATTTGATCAAAAATAAAAAAAATAAATTAAAAAAACAAGGAAGGAGAAGTAGAAATGATCCGCTTTCCTCCCTCGAGCACTTTAGATAAAATGAGATTTAAAAAAAGAAACGAATGATTAAACAATGTAAATATGAGCAAGCGTGGGAGCAGTGCTGGAGAAAAGCCTTTAAAGGGTGAAACAGAAGGTTCTTGACCTGCAGCTACTCTGATTAA